TCGGGGCGAATACAAAAGGATATATGAGAGATACATAGTAGGGCAAGAATCATCATAGTGAGTTATAATAATGAGATAATACTGAGAGACATGCAAGTGCGGGTAAGAGAGCAAGTGGGATATATGGAGTCCCAATTGGCTTCTAACAAGTCTCTGCGACACCATTTTAAGGGAGACGGCGAGAGGAAGGAACAATTCTTCAAGACACGCGAAATCTTGCTTACTTGTCATATCTCGCACCTTCTCAACGTCGGAATGCGTACAAAATAGTCAAGTATCGATGAAGATCCTCGCAGTCTGGGTTTCGCTTTTTAGTATATCGAACTTGAGGCTTTTTGGCTTACCGCATATTCTCCATACTTTTCCCTACTATTCCTAGCTGCTAGTAACATTTTGGTTCGTAGTGGACTGGCTCGTGCGCCGAGCGACACAACTCTTTGGGAAGGAACGAAGGGCGGATTTACGGGGTTCACGCGTGAGAGCTCAGTTTCAAGCTGGACTGGCGAAAAGAGCAGTCCTGATTGAATATGTCAAGCGTCCGACCATTGATACTATCAATTTGACATAATTAACGTTTACCCGTTTGGAAGTTGAGTTGCTTATAGATGGGGAGCATGGGAGGTTCGCAGCGTTGGGAGTTGCGAGAAAAATTGGAATGAAATTAGTGGATACTGGCTGGCAGGTATATCGGTGTGCACAACAGGAAGAGTAGTTTCGAGATTAGATGTGGAATTATGAGGTTCTACCGGGATTTGAACCCAGATCGCCAGATTCAGAGTCTGGAGTGCTGACCGTTACACCATAGAACCGTTCATAGTTGTGGTGGATCTTTCCATCGTCCTAGTTGTTTCAGTCGTCTGAATCAGAGTTTCCTTAAGCTCACTATACTCGACCTGTGTTGACGTGATTCTGCATGGTATTTATCCTACGGTTCGTTCATTTGGTTAAACTTGCTCTGGAGACATTCGGGGAGTTTTCTCCTTCTCCGTATATCAGCTGGTGAGCAACAAAGCACCTAGCGGGTCAGGTGCAACCGGAGGTAGTATTATCAACAGGATGTATCATGAAGCACATGAACTGGGTGGGTAGGCGTTCCAACGGTTCTACTACAGCAAGTACGGACGAGATCTGGTCGCTTTAGATAGACAGGTTCAGGTAGACAGAAAATCACACAGCCAGTGGGAGGCTGATATGATCACCCACCGTGGGGCTCGAACCCACGACCACAAGGTTAAGAGCCTTGCGCTCTACCGACTGAGCTAGACGGGCTTGTCTATATTGTTTATAGGGTGCCTTCATTGGATTATCTATTACCCATACAGTGCTTGGTAATACTTGAATGCCTTCTCCCGAGCGCCCCCCTGGTGATAGCGGAGTGGCGCCCTATGAGACTCTCCTGGCAAAATCAGACAAAGCTACGAAGCTGAGCGAAAGTAACTCGACTTGGTCTATTGGATGTACTCATCTCACCTCAGGCATATCCAAGGCTCATAATGACATGGTATTCATCAAAGAACGTGTAGCCAAACTAGTGTGAGCATTGTTGACAGGAAATATAGAAAAAGCTTACGATCGCCAATCTCAGGGCTCAAATGAATTACCTTCGTCAAGCTGTTGAGACTGCCATGCCAAATTCTAAAGGGCAAGGTAAACCGCAATCGTCAATAACGAACCGTTAGCGTTTAACAGGAACAACGGACGTACCCAAGGAAAGGCTCATAGAGGAGATGTTGAAGGCAAAGGCGAACATCAATAAATTTAGGCATTTAGTACGAAAAACAAAAGTCCCGGCATGCTCTATTTCACAAATCGCCAGATCGAGGATGCTGCAGCAAAGACACGTCAGGCTGGTGAGGGTGATGGAGCTGGTGGGCTACGAGCCAAGGAGAAAGTAGACGATCCCAAACAATCCATGTGAGTGTCAGGAGAGAGCAGTCGGGATGTTCTGTCACATTTTATTGGATAAACGCTCCGCGTATCTGCTGTAATTGAAGATCTTTATAATGCAATGTATCATCCTATCTTAACGAAGAGAAAAAGCGGACATTTCCGCAACATCCGCTTGATTATTATTGAAGCGCACGGTTTCCGTCACCAACGTTGATCCAATACTCTTAAACATGTCACCGGAGACATGGCAACATGGCTCTCATCTCATTCCTTCAGTTTCGAAAGACTCGGTGGAGACCTCAATCTGGAAACTACGATTGAGCTGGTAAGTGGTATGTGATTCGACCACCAGTGGTATACAAAATCGCCAACTACATCATGCGAAAATGCTGAACAAATTCCGGGTTTTCGCCATGATTTCGCTGAACAGGTTTACGAGAAAGCTGTGCGAGATCCTCGCACAAGAGCCCACTTTGAGAAAAACCAGAAGAAAATGGACTCTATAAAGGCAAAGATGTGCGCCTTTTTAACTGGCTTCTTCGGCGGCCCCAAAACGTAAGCTTCGAGCAGGAAAAGATCGAATCTTCTCCGCCCTTTCGGCGGCCCATGGGCGACAGGTCGTCAGTAACGACTTGTTACCAACGAGTGCGCATCGTTCGGCGGGAATTTCCAACCAACAACTTGAATTATGCAAGTCGCATAGCGCGACATAGCGCGAGACATAATGCGGATTGCCTCCTTCTATGCGATCTTTCTCGACGGGCCACGTGGCATTGCAACGACAACCAAGTTGTTGACATCTTGGAAATGAACTACTCGCCGAAGCACCTGGAGGGAACGTCAGTTTTCTGACTCAGAAGTTCTGAGACGGTTAGATTCACATATCACGACAGGTTATTGAGCATTATATCTAATATTGATCATTAAGTGTTTCCGCACGGCCTTGCCATGTCTCAGATATGACGAGGAGAACATTCAGCCAGTGCATTACCACATGAATATTACTGACTATCACTTCGATGCCGTCCTTGAGATGTTCCAGCAAGTCTTCAATGAGCTCGGTACCATTGGACGTCATGAGACTCTAGCTGTCATGTCCATATCAGATATTCACCCTAATGCTATCACCGATGGATTGGCAGAGCTCGGTCGATGCAGGAAACTGATAACTACTGGGTGCACAGTTCGGATGGAAGTCGCCAAGAAGAATGAGGAAATGGGTGGGTTCATAGACGCACATGGGGCTTGCCTTGTGAGCATACGACGACGCTAGAGATTGTTGATGACCAACAGAGCATGCTAGGCTCCGCGATGTTGCTACCGTTGTACCATCGAATAATGTTGTAACGATAAGGTTAATAATATTATTATTAAATTGATTACTCTGAGCCTAATTGTGGTATAGAATAATAAGTCAGTAATAGACTAGTGGAGGAGTGCTAGTTTGGCATGGTCTCAGGTACCGATATGATGTTCATTAAAGTCGGGTACGGGGAGGGTCTGGAGGATTTCATCAAGAGACTTTTCGACTTGAGTAAAGTAGACCGAAGACTGAAGAAGTTCTTCCAAGGTGAGGCAGCGTTCATCGTAGAGGTATAGCTAATCTTGTACGAAGGAATTTACTTTATCGTTTCTTCACTTTACTATATATTTACATATTCATATTTCATATCCGCACCAGGACACTTTATTATCTCCGAGGATCGCATTTTCGGGACTGAACAAATCACTGATTTTTGTTTGTTGTTTGCTTTCAGGCAAAGACTTGCATCGAATACGAACATCTCTGAGAGCATACCTAACGGAGCGGTTTGGAGGGCCAAAACAATATAAGGGACGAGACTTGGAAGAGATACACAGAGGATTGGGTAAGCACCGCCAACCCTAATATCCGTAATGGGCATAAACACCCACCGTGGGGCTCGAACCCACGACCACAAGGTTAAGAGCCTTGCGCTCTACCGACTGAGCTAGACGGGCTTATCATTATATGTTAACATCCTGACAAATAGCGAGTATTTTGACTAGTATCTGATGCCTTTTACTATAAGTTGTTTCCGCTTGTATCTAGGCTAGGTTTCCTGCTAATTTAGAAGTTCTAACATCGCCACGATGTTATCGTTCAGGTCTGGACGACTTCTATTTCGACTGTTTCCTAATGAATGCAGAAAAGGCTCTCCATGGTCTCGGAGTTGACGAAGAAATCATCGCCGAAGTGAGTGTGACGCCGTGACGCGGCGCGCTATCGCTCTTCGTCAGGTGTTGATCACTCTCGAGTTCGCCCGCCCCAAAGTGCTGAATAGAAAAGGAGACCAGCTTACCGATTTCAAGCTCGTTGATGGTAGGGCATGCCTAGACTCATTTAATCGATTACATTTCCTTAGGCATGACGATCTTCGAGCGAATTGGCGGCGACATGAACCTTGAAGCGGTCGTTGAGACCATGTATAGTGGGGCATTGTTAGACCCTCGAATTAAGTTCTTTTTCGATCTACCAAAAGACAGGGTGAGAGGTCGGGGATCGGAGGCGTGGAATTCCTGTAGGGTTCGCGGAAATGGGGTTCTGACACGGTATCGCATTCGACGGGGAAGTAACATTACTTATATAATGGTTATAATAATGGTACGCGATTTATGAGATCAGTTCATAAATCGCACATCTCATTGAAATGTAATAATAAGTTATGGTAGCTGCCTCACAGAAATGTGTTCTGGGGGATCAGAAAATGCTCCTGATGCGGAGGAGATACAATAGAAAATTCGCTATAGAAGATTTTCCCTAACAACCTAGGGGACCTGGAATACATTCCCTCTAGAAGCATTTGACGTCCCTTTGTGACAGCTAGGAGAGCAATGTTGGAGTAATACTAGGTTGCACTTGACTATAACACTGTTCTAAGGTCGAGCAAATTAAAGAACGTATGTGTTCCTTTTTATCGATGATCACGGGAGCCCCTGAGGTCCACTATGATGTGAAGGTGTTGAAGGAGATCCATCGAAGTAAGTTTTGAAAGTTCAGATTGCCGTTTGAAGCGTTTGGCAGGCATTAACATCACAGACTATCATTTCGACGCCCTCATGGAGAACATGAAGGTTGCCTGTGAACTAATGGAAATAGAGAACACAGTAAGAAAGGACTGTCGAGCTGCCTGTTTTGATAGAGAACCTACCTTGTATCTTCCTCGCTTCAAGCTAAGATATTTCTACTCAGGCAAAGATGGACTTCTTGGAGTGTGCCTCTCGCGTCCGAGGTATCATCACTGCCGGCTGCACAGTCCGACTTGAACTCGCCCGAAGGCGAACCGAAATCGGAGGTACGTGATCTTTAAGTCAATTTAATGTCATTCTCCAACAGGTACCGAGGGGCTTTTCAGACAGCTTGGTGGTGAAGCCGGCGTTGCCAAAGTCGTCGAGAGAGCCTACGAGTAGGACAAGTTCAGTGGGAATGAGAATTCGCAATTGACTCCGCGGTTTGCCTTCGAAACGGGAAGGGAGTTCAACCCGCATTCAGTGGCTTTTGGCGTTGGAAATGTATCTCGGCTTTGGGATTGGGTCGGGTCTGGAAGCGACCGCTGAAGATGTCATAGGATTCTGTAGAACTTCAAGGTGGATGTCTGAGGAGAATTGGCGATCGCTGCCTGTGAATCAGATTGTGTAAAATTGTCCCTAGGCGTGTTGAATTCAGGACAGCAGGAATAAGCCTGTTTGAAGTGGTTCATTTCAGGTTGATCGAAAAAGACGATCGATTATCGAAGTTTCTGAGCGGAGCGAAGCTCGGGGCCATCAAGCAGTCTCAAACGAAGTATCTTACACATCTCTTCGGTGGAGCTGAAGAGTAAGAATGGCTTTGAATCGGCAAGTCATAGAAATACGCTCCTAGAAGGAACGTGTTTTTAGTTTCCATTATATCTCCCCCCCT